CACAAACACACACACTCTCACACACACAGACACACACACACGCACACACACTCACGCACGCGCACACACACACACACACACACACACAGACAGACACACACACACTCACACTCACACTCACACACACACACCACACACACAGTCATCCGCTCCTCACACCAGCATGACTGTGTAAAGTCCTCTAATGCAAAACAGTATATCTGTAAGGAATTATACTGAAACCAACCACACAAACAGTTCCTGGTTTTGTTATAATAAATCTTAAATTTATGACTCTAAAGCAGCTTTTCTTGTGGTGTTTTCTAATATGAGTGTTGGGGAAAGTTACTTTTAAAAGTAATGCATTACGATATTTCGTTACTCCCTAAAAAAGAAACTAATTGCATTACTTAGTTACGTTTTATGGAAAGTAATGCAATATGTTACTTTTGCATTCTACTTTTTCTTGCTTGTTTGTTCTTAATATAGTTCTATTTTTGGCAAATGTACAAAACCAAAAGTGAAATGAATAAGCCTATAAATATAAATTCACGTCTCGAGGACGCAGCTCAAACAAACCTTCAGCTGTGCTGCTGTTCTGGATCGCATGAAGTTCAGCTCTCTTCATCAATACAAAAAATTAAACACAAATGTTATGTTTATCTAAAGCCATTTTTGCTCATTAGTATGGATGAAGTGGATCATCGAAGGTCAGCAGCAAAGACATTGGTTATTTTCACAGCTATTTTCTTGTCAATTAAAAAGTCATGCATTACTTTACTAGTTACTTGAAAATAGTAATCTGATTACGTAACTCTGGTTACTTGTAATGCGTTACCCCTTCAAAGCTACAGTGTGTCATTCTGTCTCAATTCCCAGATTAACACAGCTAAGTGCTCTATAATGATGAGTAAAATTAATCTTTATTCAATGAGATCACACCAATTTCATTTGATGCATATTTTAAAAAGACATCACAATACCATTGTGGTTTTTAAAGAAAATATTCCTAATCTAAATTAAGCATGACTAACAAATGTTTTTAGTTTTAAGCAACATGTGGTTCTCAGCTCTGGCCCTCCAGATCCACTTTCCTGCAGAGTTCAGCTCCGACCCTAATCACACACAGCTGAACAAGCTCGTCAAGCTCTTCAGGATCACTAGAAGGTTAGGTGAGTTTGATCCAGGTTGAAGCTAAACTCTGTAAGAAAGTGGACCTCAGGAGTCAGAGTTGAGAAAGCCTGGAGCAGACTTAGCAGTTAGCATGCAATGTATTAATGCACGCTATTTTCATAATTACTGTTTTAGAGCTTGATATATATATATATATATATATATAAACAACAACCAAAAACCCTGTGTTTGAAGGCTCCAGGGAAGTGAAACCGTGAGTCAGAGAAACCTCTCAGTGGAACTGATGTGAAACAATGAGGCTCCAAACAACTTTAGCAAACTGAGCTGAAAACACACACTTCTCTGACTGAAGCTGACAGTACGGCCTGTGTAATATCTCTGTTTCCATACGACAACAGATAATGTCCAATCTATTCACTTTGCTCAGATTTATTTGGAAAAATAAAGTAAATCCTGTTCAAAGGAAAACTCTGACGGGAAGTTATAATGAGCGCGGACAGTGTTGCCAGATTGGGCGGTTTTGAATTTGATTTTGCAGGTAATAATTGGTTTGGGGCTGGTTTGGGGTCAGTCTGGCGGTTTTCAAACATCTAAACTGTACAGGCTAATTGATTAACCAACAAAACCCAAGTGTGCTTGTACTGCATCCAATCAGCCATCATGATGTTACTAAACACACACTGAACACTGCAGAGTCGGCTGATGATTCATGAGTGAGGGGTTTTTAGCATGATGAACATATAGCTGTTTATTCAAGTGATCACAACGCCAGAGTGGTCTAAATATAAGTTAGACGGTAAAGAGTGGGAGAGCGACTCGACTCTCAACACGTGAATTACACCTGTGCAGGAGATGATGTGAAGGCTCTAATATTTGAACTCTGAAATCAGAGCACAGTTGAATAATTTAATCAAAATCCAAACTGAATATGGGACTACACCATTCTGTCCTGCATCAGGAAAAAATTGACCAGCCGTATCTTTCCTCTGGGGTTAGTTCTCAACGTACTTTAGATCTACAAAGACACTGCACTCCTGTCACTTCTGAATGGAGGAAAGTGTAACGCGCAATATGGCGGAATAGTCCCGCCTTCTGAGTAAAAGAGCCAATCGCTAATCGCTAAAGTCATCAAAGATGGCCGCCGAGAGAAATGACTTGCCTTGTTTGTTTTCACTAATTTATGACCAGGGGAGCTCTATCGAGAAAAAAGCTGATAAACTAGCTAGCTAGACTGTTACTCACGTCACGATGGGACCCGCAAATAACGCAAGTGAGGACATTTAACAGGCTGCTGTGCTGATCTAATGATATGATCCGCTTGTTCGGTTCTCTGTGTCTGTTGCTCTATTTGCTTTGCTGTGAGCGCTGTCATGATGTGTCGCCTTATATTCAGTTTTGTTGGTTTTGTGTGGTAGGACGGAGTCGTTTTGCAACCCGGCCCGCTGTGTTTAGCTATGTTTTATTTTGGTGATAGCAGTCACTCTCGCTGTGCTGTTTTCTTCTTGCATTTCTGAACACCGAACAGGCAAAAGTTCACTTCAAGAATAAGCAAAGTGGTGAGTCTGAAGTGTTCGGAGAACATGTGATCTATTAGAAGAAAGACTTGCCACAGAAAGACAAACAGCTTGCTGAAAAATGCACAATACACGATCTTCCAGATGAGAATGAAGACATTAACATGCATTAACGATAATTTGGAACAAATATAATGTGATTTAATGGAAAACTGTGAGTGGTGCGTCAGGATTTCGTCAAGGCTGGATTAGCCTCCTAATAGTTTCAGAGGAATGGTCAAAGATAAGTGTTAGGAGAGTAGGGGTGTGCGATATATATCGTCTGCGATAATATCGTAATTGTTGTTTTAACGATGTGCGATTTGACATTATCGAGTATTTTGCAAAAACCATTCAAAACATCCCTACAGAGCGCACGCATACATTACGTGAAGTCTAGACTAGTGCGTGTGCGCATTTAGTGTGTTTTCTTTCACTGCATGATTCAGTCTATTAAAATGCATTTAGAATTATCACAAATTCAAGACATGATGGCAGAAAATTTATATATTTATACCACTTCATATAGTTATTCAATTTCACACGAAGAGTGCCGTTTTTCTCCAAAAATTATCATGATTACAAATGTGACATTGAATTCAATAAACAATAAGTTAATTAAGAGACTTACGTTTTAGACACCATATTGCTTGTTTTTGCTCTATTTGGCCAACAAAAATCATCCCGAATACAGCCACAGCGCTGTTTTGTGTCTCTGAGCAACATGACGGTGTTTCGTTCTTGAATGAATCAACCGTTTAAATGATTCGGTTCAATCGCAATGACTCACTTATTAACAGTGATTTGCTGCCACCTACTGGCGCTTTTTTTAATAGATTTTTTTCATGTTTTAAATCATTTAAAATATCAGTATTCAACGTTTTATGTTTAATATATCAAAACATTATTTATGCATTTGTAATTGCAGGTTAAATGCTTGCATTAAACAAAATACATGTGTGTAAATACATCTAAATGCCACTTCAGATGCAGCTTCTGTGTTGATTTCATTTGCTTGGTAACAGCCCAAATGTCTTATTATTCTAATTCCCTGATTAAATGTAAGAATTTGACTCGAAAGATAATGGACACTTCTAGAAAAAATGGCTCTATAAAGGTAAAAATGCCCATAAAATTTAAAAATCTGTTTAAACTTATTGGAAAATATTAATTTATATCAGTATGAACTGACCACTACACAGAATATTAAAAACATTATGAGTCAGCTGTCTTCGGCAGTCCTTAAGGTACCAGCACAACAACACACTCAGCAAAATATCGTCTAATTATCGTCATCGATAAAATCCCAGAAAATATCGAGATATTATTTTTTGTCAATATCGCACACCCCTACATGAGAGTTTACTTGATGGTTCCTGTTTGCTTGTTTTTTGGGAGCCGATAGAGAACTTTAAGATGTCTGTTCTGGGGACAAGCAGTTAACAATGTTTCTTCAAGCTTCACCCATGAAAATTATGTCATTTACTCACCTTCAAGTTGACGGTAGCCATTGACATCCATATTTTTTCCATAGTACGGAAGTCAATACCTACCGTCAACTGTTTGGTTCCCAACATTCTTCATAACATCTTCTTTTGTGTTCAACAGAAGAAAGAAACTCATACAGGTTTGGAACGACATGTAAAACGATGACAGAACTTTTATTTTTGGGTGAACTGTCCCTTTAAGTCAGAGAGGAAAAACATTTTGAGTGTAAAACATTTTTTAATAGATTGTCAAATTTTAAATGATATTAGACAACGATATTATTCAGAAAATATACTGAAAGACATTTTTAAAAAAGTCTCTCCTGGAAGAATTTTAGAATTTTTTTATCAATTAAATTGAAAGATTGTATATGATTTTTATCAGTACTATTGTTGTTTCTTGTATGTTTTTGTATAATGATTGTTTCCTAAGAAAATGTTATATTATTGTAAATTATGTAATAAAATGATATTGTTAATGTTGCCATGGCTATAGCCACTGTTGCTGATATGGCTTTAAAACATAAATAAATAAATAAAATACCTTTAAGTCATTCATCGTTTGACAGTGAAAATCTGCACAGTATTTTTAGATAATTATATAGTGCCCCTCATGTGAA